TTGTCAGGCGATTGAAGTTTACGGCCAATTTGTCCAACCGCTTCACAATATCAACGTGTGCTACCTAGAGAGCCTCCAGGCTGCAATCCTCGTCATCAGGCACACGCTTGCTACACTGCCATCTCGCCAACCCGTAGGCTCTAATATAAAATCTGATGTGATATGCTATAGAAGAAGCAAGGTAGAGCAGAATAACTCAAACAGAGAACCATAAACTATACCATAGTATGATATTCCAAATGTAAAAAGCTACCTCTACCTATCTCAAGAAAGGATAAAAGCTAACTGCCATGAGGCACAACCATACCTCATGCTGAAAATGACTAAAACGACCAAAAATTAAACCTGTACTATATTCAGGGGTGGAACCTGCTTCAATTTTGAGGGGGCAAATTCAATAAAAAAATATTATTATACTTTTATTATTATATATATATTATAAAATGAGATTGCTTGAGGAAGAGTTCATATTGTATGAGTAAGTTAAGTTGATCCTTAACTTGGAGCAATGAATTTGTAATATGTTGAATCGAAGAAGTTGTAAGTGCTCAGGTTGAATGAACCTGGTGTATGACACGGTGGATGGGAGGTCGTTTGCCGATGTCGGCTATCGAGGTTTGCGATGGAAACGGGGTGGTTGTCATTGTGGGATTAGATAGGAAGATGCGCAGGTCGGGCAGAGTTGTGGCGGTAAGTTCGGGACGTAGGTCTGTAATAAGGTCGATAAGTTTTTGAAATGTGCTAATAAGGTTGAATGGTTGACCGTGGAGGCTTATGTGGTTAGATGGAGGTCCGGGTGGCTACGTCAAAAGGTTCACAGGTGGTGGTGCGGTAATCTCCTAGGTTCTTCATTTAGAGCTAACTGATTTCTGAAGTGCTCCTTATGAGGGACGGGCTTATATAGATTATTTGAGTTGAGGTTTAATGAGAATATAAAACAATTAAGAGCATCATCGAATCCCTACTAAATTTTTTCAATCATTGATTTTTTAGTATTTAAGTGATTGTTGTAGATTAAGGCATTTGGCTGTTGTTTTTCTTATCGATCTTAATGATATTAGTATCGCATTGGGTGTGTAATTTTAATGTTTGAAGTTTTCAATATACTTCATTTTTTTAATTGCTCGGTCGTCGGATCGGGCCAAATTGTGCTTTGAATACTCGTTAAGGATATTTAGTTTGTTTAATTTGCTGAATTTGGATCCACATCTCCATGATTATTTTTAAGAAGTTTCAATTTTAAAAAGCATTGGATGGCGATTGGAGATTTTTGATAATTATCAGAATGTTTATATTGTTAATTTATTTTAATAGATATATATAAAATTTTTTTTAATAAATAATAATAATAAATTGATTATATTTATCCATCACAAAATTTCTCCTTTGGAGACCCTTTTGGACGGCAAGAATTTCAGCATTCTATAGCTTGGAATTTCAATAGGGACAAATTTTTAAAAGAATGGTTTAATAAATAAATTAGGCAAACAAAACCCAATTAAAAAAATTATGAGTTATCAACTAGCCTTGGTAAGCTGATGCCCAGGGGCGAAAAGCCATAAATTTTAGGGGGGCAAACATTAAGTAACTGTTCGCATATATGTCGGTTTAAGGCGGGGCGCCCCCTGAGGGGTTCGACTGCCTGGGCAGTCCATGGAGGTCAGGGACGCCCCTTGGGTCGGGGGTACCGGAAGAATTTTTTTACTATTTTATTTGATTCATCTTTCCCTAACAATATTACTCTCAAGATTTATTTTCGAGGGTAAATTGCCTAAAGACTATAGTATTTTAATATTTTTTAGTGGGGCAATTTGCTTAAAACCCTTATATGATATAATTCTCAATAAGAGTATAATAATTTTTTTTTTTAGGGGAGCAATTGCACTTTACCTAGAGGGGTTCGCCCTGTGATGCCCAACTTCTGGCACCCATTTGATCGGCTATATGAATTGAGTATGCGACTTGAATTGTTGATTTGGCACCCATTTGGCCAGTTATGTAGATCGAGCATGTGACTTGGATCGGGTCAATGACCTAACTTAATGACTTGACACTGACTATTCGTCAGCTCTCATTTTGACTATATATATAATAATAATAAAATCAATATATATAATTATTTATAAAAACGAAAAAAAAAATCAATTGTTAGCTCTAACGAAGTTCTTTGCTTTTTTTTTTTAAGTTTTATTTTTAATATGATAAATATTATGATAAATAATACATTATAAATAAAAAAATTTGTCAATAAATTTTAATTTTACTATCATTTTTCTCTCTTTTAAGTTTTCCTTTTTTATAAATAAGTATTTAAGTTAATATTAATTAAACATTTTATATAAAAATAAAATATTAAATATATTATTAGTTGAACCGGCCGTTTAAAAAACGGATCGTTTACGTCGGCGGTTCAACGCGGTTCAACCGGTTTTGGCGGGTCGTTTAGACCGATTCTAGGGAGGATCGAACGGTAGTGGACCGGTTCACGGTTGAATCCGGTCCGGCCGGTCGGTGCGTTTCAAAACATTTATAAAGGTTATATATATAGTACATTTAATAAAAATAAAAAAGAAAACTTAAAAAAAGAGAACAAAATAGTTAAAATTTGAAAGTTATTAGATTATATATATATCTTATAATCTATATTTATTCGCCTTGGAAAGCCGTTACTAGAGACCCGGTCTCTTTCCAGCGGGATTAATTCCTGTCCGCCTGCCCGCTAGAAAGCCACAAAAAGAAATAATAATAGTCGGCAAACTCTTAGATAAGCAATTGTTTATTATAACACTTCTGGCCATAAATCTGACGAGGTTCAACACTAGTTAGTTTATCAAATCTACAATTCTTCCATAATAACTCACAAGTTGCCTGTTGCAATGATCCGTTACTTGTAGCAATGAGGGGTTCTTTCCGAGCAAGGCAAATTTCTC